AGTTTGTTGAATCTGACGTGACATGTTCGTACGAACGCTTCGTACAAACAAAAGTAAAAGAAATTTAGGATAAGAATACAAACATGTTCTTGCATGAGGCCCATTAAACCAAGAAATTATATGAAATCATCTTTACTTTTGTACCCACACACACAAACATGTTTGAACATTAAAAAAAAAAATGAGCTGGTATGATTTTTTTAGAAAGAACATCTAATATCAGATATATCTCCACAGAAGTGTTGAGGTTCTGTAAAAGATAAAGCATTTTTTTCTGATAAGAAACAAGAGGAAAATGGATATATTGGCCATAATTGGAAATGTCCCTTTGAGTTGGAGCACATGATCAAATGTCTGGTTTTGAATGTTTTGACTGAATCTGGTTCATGGACTAGAAATATGCAAACTACTAAAATATTAAAAACTTTTCTCTCTGGATGTCAGGTGACACACAAATAAAAAGTGAACCAATTACTCAGGAAATTTACTGACATTTTTAGTTTTGTTTGGAAACCGTTTTGTATTGAAGTGTTGTTTTTGTGTTTCATATTAAGAATTTCATAGAAGCAGCTCTGGCGAAAGCTTCAAACACACCCCAGCCTTTAAAGTTGAATTGTTCCTGAGTGTCTGAGATAACCCAAACCTTCAATTTCATCTTTTTTTTTTTCGAGAAAGAAGTATTCCTCTCTGCCTTCCTCACTACAGACAGTGTCCATCATCTTGTCTGTGTGTGTGTGTGTGTGTGTGTGTGTAACAGTTGAGAGGGAGAGCTCGGATGTTTTGAATCTGAATGTGCAGACAGAGTGGCAATTAGCAGCTGCTTTCTCCAAGGTCTATGAAATTTATATGTCAAGCACAACAGCYAAAAGCATATTTTCTCTGGAGAGAAACTTGACCTTGATCAAAGAAATAGTACTAAAATATGTGCACAAAAAATAATAATCAGCATAGTCTTACTTTTGTTTCCAATTATCAGATTTTTTTTCCATCTGTGTTTTTGCAAATAATTTGTTTGCACAAATGAACTCTGCTTTGTTTATCTTTTCTTATAAATTGCTTATATTTGTTGCTTAAAGTGTATTGGAATGTAGTAGGTGCTTTGTCTATAAAAGATAATACAAAGGTAAGACATCAAAAATATGCAATTAACCTACAGCATAATAATATTGCAGATTCATTTAAGTTTGAACGATTGTCTGTTTTAACAATTTGTATGTTGAATAAATATATAATTTGATTGTTCAGCTTTTATACTACTTATTTTTGTTGTTGCTTAACCTGTTTTCTGCTGTACTTTTTAGTGAAACAACAGCTACAGGAGTTTACATCAATTAGTAAGTAGTTAAAAATAACCCAAATAGGTCTGAATAATAAGTCCAACAAAACTGAGTTAAAGAATAGCTAATTTGTCAACATTTGCAGAAAATAAATCCAGCACTGACATTTTCATCAGCCTTTTCGCCTCCATTTTGACAAAGCTTTCGTTCTTACCCGCCTCATCAAAACTCATTAGACTCCCATGTGGGTTAATGTATTTGGACTTTCATCTGGATTTGTGATAAACACACACCTGATCCTTTGTGACAGAGTAATAAAACATGGGCAAAAACAGCTCCAATTAGACTTATAATCAATGGAGATGAGCAATTAATGCTCAGTGGGAAGCAGAGATTCTGATTTTTTAATCAGCCCAGTGTTTTCAGTGCCCATAAACTTGACAATGGTTCGTAATGAATTATGCATGCTCAGTTAATGGTGATGTTCCTTCCACCCAACTTGGTGATATGGCTGAGCACAACCGCTCACATTACACTCTATGGTTCAGGTATCACACCATAATTGTAGGTATTATATCTATATGATGGCATTAATAGCTCCACTGTAACCTTAATCAATTTTATGGGTGCTTTTTGGCTTGTTTTATTTTTTTTTCTGCTTTAGGAACACTTATTCCAGTATCTCGTTAACACGGGCTTGTTGTTAAAAATATACATGCCTGAGTTCACCTAGGCTGTAATCATAATTTCCATTTTATTTTAGTGAAAATAAAAAGTTGACAGTGTTTTAATGATTAGATAAATGCATTGCCACAAGGATGAAAAAATATATTTAAGGTAATGGCTTAATTTTTGGGAGAAATATTCCCCACCTAGCCTTTTTTATGTGAGATTATGAGAAAATGTGAGTAATGCATTCCTATTTAACTCGGAGCAAGAATGCATTATTTCCCAACACGTCTAATTACCTTGTAAGCAGGTTTTATAAAATGGGAGAAGGCCAAATTTAATGCAGGACCTGAGCTGACAGCCAACATTTTACTCACAGGGAGAGACATTTCAAATATGATAGCTTGTTTATGTGTTCAGAACATTACCTTCTGTGTTGACACAGGTTATATTGTAGACTGCAGCTCCAGGACCACATGAGCTATTGGTGGGGATGCATCTTCCCTCATGCTGGACCTGCCACAAGTAGCAGGCAGGCTCCTCGCAGGGGATGAACTCCATCAGATGAGGGCAGGTCTCCAGAGTTCCACTGGACTCCCACAACACCTCCCTCCTCCTTTGTCGGAAACCTGGCAGAAAGAAGCGGGGAAGGTGCAGGAAATGTCAATGAAATGACAACTTATTCTCTTCCCAGGAATAAATTATGCTGCCTTACACACAAATCAAACACAAACACCCTCTGAACAAAAAGTAGCCACGTGTTGTTAAGTGATTTTAAGATTTCGGGAAATTATGTATTGATTTTGTGATTAKCAAGTAGTTTTGATTAGTCTACTAGCTACGCTCGGCAAAAAAAATAAAATAAAATAAAATAAAAGTAAAATCTGCCATACTTTCTGTAAAAAAAATAAAACAAAGCACTTGATTCAAAAATTAAATGAAAGAAAAGAAAATCATTATGTCTCTCTCTCCTGTATATGAGTGTCAGGCCCTTTCAGAGCAAAACAAAAGATTGCAGTTTTGTTTCAGTTCCCTTCAGGTTCAATAATTCTTTGAAAAAAAAATACTGTGTACATCAGTTCACTTTCTCACCTTTCTTTGGGATTCAAGCTAGCAGAGCATGAGATATTGTGTTTCTGAAGCCAAAGTGTTACATCTATTTATCATGCTTCAGTTTTCGGTGCGGGAGCTCTCCAGTCAGTGATCTGTGAAATATCTCGGCGTTTAGAGAAATCCAGAATCCCTGTCTATAAGTGCCAACAGATTTCAAACACCAAATGTCATTTATATAGATGTTTCTATTTGGATGGCTGGACAAATTGTTGCTATTGTAAAAACTATACATTTTGTTTACATTACCATGGGACAATTCTGTCAGTAAAAAACACTTCACTCTTTTTTTGCTGTTTTTTCCCCTTAAAAAAATCTAATAAAAAAACTCTTTGACATTAAACCAAAATATTGTTTTGGTAAAGAGACAGTGTTCACTGAAATGCAGCAGAGGAAGCATTTCCGGGGGTGAGAGGGTGAGAGTATCAGCACAGCAGAGGTGAAGGTGTTAAGAAACAAAGAAAAGTGTGGATGAGTTGGGTCAAATTGCAATAATTGCGTTGTTTAACAATGACTTCTTTTTTTACTGATTCCAATTACAGAATCTCACATTTTTTATTGCTGTCACCAAAGTGTTGTAACATTTTTTATATGTCCTGGCATATTTTATGACTATAGTTTAAATTAGACCAGATCATGCTTTTAGATCCTTCTTTTTCACATTAAAATCATGGGGTTTATATAAAGTGGAACTGCAACACTTTGGTCTAAATGCATCCTTCTTCACTCCACAAACCTCTCTTTCACCCCTTTTCAAACGTATGTCTCAAATCAACTCGTTTTTTTATGCTGTCTCTTTAAATCCAATTGAGGCAAGAAGACAAGAGAAGACTTGTCCATCCAGCCTTACAGGTTGGTGCCAGAGTCTGACCCAGAGCCAGAGGAGAATGAAAACCACCAAATTTTAGTTGGTAAGACAAGACCTTATTTGGCACTTCCATCATGATCTGACATTAGTTCAGAAAAAACTGAACAGCTTAAAAAATACACTGCCAGGCCAAAAAAAAAGGTGCTATGATCTGAGGTTGCTGCAGTTGGTCAGGTCTAGGTTCAGCAACAGTCTGTGCTCAAAGAACGAGGTCAGCTGACTACCTGAATATACTGAATGACCAGGTTATTCCATCAATGGATTGTTTCTTCCCTGATGGCACGGTCATATTCCAAGATGACAATGCCAGGATTCATCGGTCTGGAATTGTGAAAGAGTTCAGGAAGCATGAGACATCATTTCCACACGTGGATATGCTCCACAGAGTCTGTAAAGTATCTTTGGGATGTGCTGGAGAAGTTCAGACTCTACCATCATAAATGCAAAGTCTTGGTGAAAATTTAATCCAAAACTGGATGGAAATAAACCTTGTGACATTGCAAAAGCTTATCCAGACAATGCCACAGTGAATGTGTGCCATAATCAAAGCTAAAGGTGGTCCAATGAAATATTAGAGGGTGATCTTTTTATTGGTGGCAACTTATTTACTTATTTATTTTTTTATTTTTTTTGGCTCTGCGCAGATGACGGGTGGGGGCTGGTTCACGGACTGCAGTGAACCACCGGCCCACTAAACAATTGGCCCACCGGGGATTTCCCCGGTAGCCCTGCATGCCAGTGTACCCCTGTAGTATTATTATAAATGAAATTAAACTAAACAAAGAAAAGTATACTTTATTATTTTTATTTGCACATGATACTCTTTTTTTTCTTTACAATGTTGCATGTCTGTCAGTAACACAAACTGGAAATGCTTTTGCAAATGTATAAAAATCAGAAGGTGCAAGAAAAAAAGTGATATAAGAACAAAACAAAGTTTCCAGATCTTATGTTATACAAGTTGAAATTAATTTTAGTATTAATATTTTGCTCCAAATGTTGAAGTTTAACCCACATTACGTAAAATCTTTGAATGAGATCGCTTTAAAATCATGATGGATTTGTGAACATCAGGTCAAATCCACACCAACAAAATTGAAGATCTGAATCGAAACGATGCAGAAATGTAGAAATGTTGGGCTTTTAAAGTTTTGTTGTCACATTAACTTCTCATTTGTTGTGTCTCTTCACAGATTTTTCAGTGGCAATCTACAGTATAGTTTAATAAATACTTTCTTCAGTACTTCTTCAGCCAGGCCAGTTTTTTTTGTTGCGTCACAAAACCTCAGAGAAACTTTTGTTGAATATAAATGCATCAAACATTGATTGTTGGTGCTCGAAGAATGGCGGGCTGATCATAAAGACGACATGAACAATAAAACGCTTGAAAGCGTTCAGCAAATTATTGAATGACACGAATATTTTGTCTCGCCCATTATCACTATAGCACTTACCTAGTCAGCCGCATCACCTTACTGCCCCATATTTTTATTCATATTCCCCACTCAACAATATTGATTCTCCTAAAGATGGATTGTTCATAAAATATTCATTTTCCATGAAAAGGTCCTTACTGGTTGAACATGTTCAAATCAATAGTTGAATTGACTAGAGAGCCCTTCCAATTCTCTTATGACAGCACAGTGTTCTTGCAAATAGAAAGCTGACGGAAAAAAGCATCCAAACTCCTACAATCTTCCCCCCAGAGAGACTCGAGCAGCAGCACTTTCCCTTTTCAAGCAATGCTCCTTTTATCTCAGTTCAACCACTGGTCACTGGTGTAAAGGTTCCACATTCCTTTGGCCCACAGGCAGCACTGTTTAACCAAAGGACCCCTATTCTGCAAATTACATCCCCCGATCATCTACCAGAGAGGCGCACCAGTTCAGGAGCATGATCTGAGTGATGCTGCCAGAGTGCGCTCTTGAAAAGCAAAGACATAGTGGATCGATTGTCGTATTGCCCAGAGCACTTACTGCTACTCGCATCAAAGCCACAAAAAACAATTTGGCTGGTCGTGCCCCTGTGGATATTAATAATTAAAAGGTTTCTTGGACATACCAGGTTTATTTCAAGGGAACAAGAACCAGACAGCAATTTTTAGCACCATTTTTTTAGGAATACACCTTCCCTCGAGCTGTGTACGTTCTTGGTAGAGGCCTTGCTAAAAATCTATCCAGTAACCTCTCATGTTCAATTGATTTCCCAGTATAGCAGCAAATGTGATAGGCCACGATATCGTGAAAAGACATGAAGCCACAGCGAGGCAATCTAAATTTGTAATTTTCCGTAGAGCAAAGCTGCTTGACTCCTGTACCTGAAAAACGGGGATCTAGAGGGACTTTTGGTTCGAGACGGATCACAGCTTATTCTGATGTGGTGAAACATAAAGGCCGTTCAATCACAGCAGGAAATCCTCTGAAGCTCAAGGGCTACAAGCAAACGAGTTGGTTCATAACAATACTCCACTACTCAATATCTGCTCAGTGCATTGCAGGAAACACTGCTCACTCTGAGTGATTCAGTGCGGCTTTCATTCCCTGTCTGTTGTGCGCCCCGAGTCTGTATAAATGCCATTAAAAGATAGCCTGCCACAAGACAGCCCTGCAAAGAAACAGCCCAGCTTTGTTTTTTTATTTATTTTTTTTTCAACTTTTGAAACATATTAATGACACTGTCTGTGAGAGGAGCTGGCTCATCCGATACAAATCCACTGTTTCAGAGTGTGGCCATTGACCTGAACAGTCCACACTTCAGTCGCTCCCCGGGGCGCTTTCATGCACATTTACACACTGCGGGGACGAGGTCATCATGCCCTTTTAGCACAGTCCTAACACACTAACAGCTCCGCCACAACCAGCACTACATTCCACAAACAATGCGTGTCCTTTCAAAAGCATTCAAATGCGACATGCTTTCATCTGTGCAAAAAGATGGGAGACAGCAGGAGTGCAATGAATACTTGTGTACACCTACACTAACACATGACAAACAAGGAAAAACACACAGACAGGAATCATTTTATCTGCTCATCCTTTCCTTATTCTCTTGGGGGGGGGGGGGGGTTGACAACTGAACTTCATTTGTACTTTTTTTTCCCTCCTTTCTCAGATCTGCTCTGGTTGATGCTTGTAGTGCCTTTTTTTTCCCCCCCAACTCACACGTCGTCTCGCCACTTAAATCAGTTTTAGGTTCTAACCAGGGGGATACTGCATCCTGCTCTGACAAAATTGGTCTGGTCTGCTGACATTCTGCCTTATAGCCTCTGTCAGATAAAAACACCTCTCTGTCTGACAGGTTCAGTACGGCCAAAGCACTCTAAAGTCTTCCATTGAGACCGAGAATGTGCAGCAGCTTTCAGGTTAGCGCAGTCCCTTGCTGTTCATACTGGGAGTACTTAGCTTAACATTTTATCATCGATTTTAAACACACGGTCAGTTAATTCAAGTTAATTGTTTTTGTCTGAGAGCTGGAGATTTCACCTTGAGCCTGTATGTTCAAATAATTTCTAAAATAAAGAGTAGTATCCAGTCTGTTAATAATTCATAGTGTCTTTTTGTCTTTGTCATCATTAAAAAAGTTAAGTGCTCTGCAGTTTTGGGTGGATAGCTGCATTGCTTATTCCTATCAAAAAATATATATGTGCTGCAA